TGAAAAAGAATTTTGAGGTGAACATGATTCAAAATATATTTGTTAGAGAAAATAAATAAATAGAAAGAAAAATAAAAGTTATAGTAAAGAAAATTAAAAGAAAAAAAAAAGAATAATTGTCAGAAGAAAAATAGATTGGGAAAGAAATAAAAGTTATAAAAAACAAAAGTTTAGAGAGATAAAAGTACGGGAAAATATTAAATTTTTAGAGGGAGAAATTAGAATGATGAACAAAAATAAAAGTATATTAAAAGAACAGGAAATTAGGTTGGTTATCCAATCAAACACTCTTGTGTGGGGTTAATATTCAAACTCTCAACCTCAAGATTAAATACATGTGCTTCAATTATTTTAAAGCTTTAACCATTTAATTTGATCCAAAATTTGCTTGTATCTAAAATAAAAGCTTTTCGTCTCATGGGGGAGATTAATAATTTTTTTTTGCTTCTTTTTTTTTTATCCACTCAAAGTGAGTAGTTTATCAAAGTTGCTGTGATTATACAGTAACATTATTTGTTTGTGGAGTATACCTATCATTGAAATTATTGATTTCAATTTAATCATTCAAGTCGGTTAAATTTACTGTCAACTTAAGTATAATTCAACTAGGTAAAATATAAGGACAACTGCGTTTTAAAAAATGACAAAACATATTAGATATTTGAACAAATGGCTAAATCAAGTTTTTTTTTTGAATCCTGAATAATATTTTAGAAAAATATACTCCTGTAATAGATTAGGTATGTATGCTTTATTTTAGGGATTTATTTGTATAACGAATAACAAAAGCAATATACCTTAATTGTAGGAAATCATCCGTAACAAATCAAAAAATGAAAAATAAAGTTTAAACAGCTAAAATCTAATTTTAAAATTGATTCTCTATATTTTGAAATCAAAGTTTGAAAGTAGATAAATAAAGAATTGTTAAAATTTTGTTTTGGTAGGTTTTGAAATTTAATAGTTTTAACTTAAATATAAAATCTAAACTTTAAAATTCTTAGGTGGGAGGGGTAAAAATTTGAAAGTAGATCAATGGTGGTGGCCACTTCGCCACCCATGGCCATTGAAGATGAGCACAAAAGAGAGTGGATTGATGCAATGAAAGATGTAATTAAGTCGTTGCATGAAAACCAAACTTTTGACCTTGTCAAGTTGTCTAAAGGAAAAATTGTACTAAGTGGGTTTATTGAGTGAAATAAGAACACACCCCACGACCGCTTTACAAAGCAAGACTGGTTGTCAAAGGGTTCGATCAGAACAAAGGTGTTGACTTTGATGAAATTTTGCTCATGCTGTTAAGTGTCTTCTATACGTGTAGTTACGGGTTTGTCAGCAAGCCTTGACTCGAAGATCGAGTAGATGTAAGTCAAAACTAAATTTTTGCATAGTGATTTAGATAAAGAAATTTATATGGAACAACCAGAGGCAAGGAGAATCTTGTGTGCAAAGAAAAGTTTTATGAGTTTAAACAAGCACGAGGCAGTGGTACAAGCAGATTGAGTAAGTTATGAGGGAGCAAGACTTCAAAAAGACTACTTCTGATCATTGCATATTTGTGCAAAAGTTTTCTGATTATGACTTTATTATACCGTTGTTTTATGTTAATGATATTTTAATTATCGATAGAAATATTTAAAAAATTGACATGTTGAAGAAACAGTTGAGCAAATTCTTTACCATAAAGGATTTGGGGCCAGCGAAGAAGATTTTTGGAATTCGTATAGTACGAGACAGAGCATCCAAGAAATAGTATATGTTTTAGGAGCATTACATAGAGAAGCTAGTTGAAAGACAACATGAAGAAAGCCAAAGTAGTAAGTAAGTTCTACTCTATCAAATCACTTAAACTAAGTAGCAAGCAAAGTCCTTCTACAGATAAAGAGAAAGAAGAGATGAGCAGAGTTCTATATGCTTCATCAGTTGGGAGTTTGATGTAAGTCATGGTATGGACTAAACCAGATATTACCCATGTTGCTGGTGTTGTTAGTCGTTTTATGTCCAATTCGAGAAAACAACATTGAGAGGTAGTTGATCATAACTCTAAAAAGGAGAGTTACTATAGTCCTTATTGGAGAACTTTTGTGCAATTTATTGTTAATATGTGTCTATCTTAGCTCGAGAAATGATAAATAATATAGGAATTGAATTATGTGCTGAAGTCCCGTGCAATGAATGCTTTGGTTTAGGTTAGTGCCGAATTCTTCCTATTATTGGCTCTTTTGCATAGGGTTGAAAGCTAAGAACCAGAGTATGAGATGAGCACTGAGCCCAGAAAGTTGTTGACAAAGCATAGTCAAGTTTGAGCATGAGGAAGTTGGAGCAATTAAGTGCTAGAGTATGGATTCACAGTGCAGTAATTATCCCCCTAAAATTTGGACTGGATATAAAAGGGACAGAATGACCTAGCTGACATACACAGATTCCAATAGAGAACATTCTTCTGTGTTGGAAAAGACAAGGGATAGGAATCTCACCATTTTCAAAAGGAAAGCTGACGACAAAAAGGAGCTACTGCTGCCGTTGTGTGCTGGTGTCTCCATCTGCGTTT